TGCGCACCTGGGAGGAACACCGTCATGCTATGCATAGACGGTATGTCTCCCCCTTTTTGCGCAGAGGACGGGCCCTTCCAGCCTGCCAGCTGGGAGCGATCTCCTTAGCCAGCTAACCGACCTCTCGTCCTTGCAGTCCACCTGCAGCATGCCTCCTTTGAAATATACTCCATGGAATAGGCTTTATATCCAGATCCTCTGATATTTCTTCCATGAGTAGGTCTTGGAGCACGGTAAGCTCCTCCGACCCAGTGTTTCCGCCGGGTAGTTTAGAGGCAGCACAGCCATGCGAATGCCTTTGAGAGCATATTTGCGCTGTCCCTCCACCACTCGAGGGGGTTTGGGGCGGAGTGATTGCCTCGGTCCCTGTGCATTGCTGCCTCTCTGCCGCTTGGTGTTAGGCGGCTCTGCGGCGTTAGCTGCCCACTCTGCGCTTCGCGGCTTGGGTGCTGAAGGCGCTGCCTCTTCGCAACCCCGCCTTGCGGCCTGAGTTGCGTTAACCGGGCGTTGGCTTCGATTTCCGCTACTCCTTTTACTGCTGGACGCGGTATTGCCACCCTCCGCTTCTCCGAGCAGGAGAGGCATTGTTTCCTCTCACCCTGTTACGCGCCAACTTTTCGGCTTCCTCCGGAGTTCTTCCCTCCTGGAGGTGCCTGAGGTACCATTTAAGGCTGGCACCGCTCATGCCTTTCCTCCTGGGATCGTCCTGTCCGCCTGGACTCCCATTTGGTGGTAGAGGGGTAGTCTGCCTCCCCTCTTCCGCTTCCGTTTGCGAGCCCCCCCCCCGGTAGATGCCCGTTCCGAGTCACCCGAGTCCGAGCAGGTGATCCTGCTCGAGGGAGCCTCAATGGAGCTCGCTTTTTCAGCGCCCGCCGCAGTCGATCCCGCCTGCTGAGCACCGCTGCACGAGGGCATGTCGTCGTCATCATCTCTTGCATGCTCCTCCAACAGCGCCCGCTCTTCTGGCGAAAGGGCGTCCAACAAACTAAACTTTTGTTTAGCCCCTGGAACTCCCTTACCTGCACCGGCGCTTGTTTTGTCGGCCTTGTCCTTGTCCGTTCGCTGTTGTTGTTGTTGCCTTGTTGTGTCCGTTGTTTTGTTGTTGGTTGTTTTTTGTTTATTGGAATTCATCTTGTTCTTACGACCATGGGCTCGTCATGGCGAGCCGTCCGGTCAACGTTTTATAAGGGGAACGCAAAAGTCCACCGCGCCAGAGCCCCATGACGCGGTAAGGCCACCGTTACTTCCCAATGCGGCCCGGTATTGGGAAGGCTCCGTTAGAATACAGCCGAATTTACCTCCTGGCTGCAAATCGTCCAATGGGCACGGAAGTCGCGTAACACCCTGGATTAGGAGGTGGCAGCTCTTGGTTGTCGCACGCATGCGGCTTCTGACAAGTCGGAACGATATAGTCATCGAAAGGTTTCCAAGAAGCACACGGTAAATTAAAATCACCTAATACAATTATTGAATCTGCATTATTTGCCATCGAGGTAGCACTATTTATTAAAGAAGCATGCTGCATGTATACAGATAAGTCCGAATGGGGTGGTATATAAGATAGGGTTAAATAAATAAAGCAACTATTAACGTATACTCTAATACATTTAAATTCAAATGAGTCGGTCCCTGGAACAAGAATATTTTCAGATGGGATAGAGGAATGCACGGCAAATAGAACACCTCCCACCGATTCTGTTCAGTCGATCACATCTAAAAATTTGAAGTTCGCTGTTTAAAATCTTATTATCAAAAATGTGAGGTTTTAACCAAGTTTCTGTAAATCCAATTATATGGAAATTAAAATTGGAACTGTTCAAATACAAGTCTGTTAATTTTGTATTAAGACCTCTAACATTTTGATAATAAATGCTTAGCGAATTTCTACCAATCAGTTTTTTATATCGGTGGTTGCTTTTGGTAATTTAACAATGTTTTCCTCAGTTTGACTTCTAAGTTTAGGTTTAAATTCGCGTACAAAAGCCCCAGGTGGCCAGAATGAACTATCTAAGATCTTTTTGAATGTTTCAAGAGATACGTCTATCTTAAACAATGATATATTTCTATCATATTTGAAGTTAAATTTACGGATATTGATCTTATCACGCGACGAAATGTAACCCTTAATATCCTCCACCAAGGTATCTTTGGCAAGTCTAGAAATAAATATATATTTTTTAGGTGGAATTAGGGGGAGCCTCTGGAATTGCGAGACACTTATTACTATTAGATAGAGCTCTTTGGAGGAACAGAGCTCTTTGGAAGTTGACGGCTTATCACCTTGAGGGCAAGGAGAGAAGAGATTTATTAGGTCATTTGGAGGAGACGTAGTCTTCTGTACAGAAGAACTAAGTGTTACTTCATCGAAAGAACGTTTACGCTTAGGAGCAGGTTTGGAGGATTCATGAGAATCATTCAGGCACTTAAAAGATTTGAACAATTTTTCATAGTGCCTAAATTTTTCAGTGAGGGTTACAAGATCACGACCGATTTCGTTAAAGCCATTGCGTGTCTCCCTATAAACTTTAAATAGATCGATTTCAATAGATCTACAATTTAAACAGGACCAACGCAATCCCTTACAGTCGAGAATAGAATCTAAGATTCTACCAGTCAGTTCAGCACATTTAATATGGGCAAGCCCATCACAAAGCCAGCATGAAACGTAGCGATCTGACTCGCCTTTAATGTTACAATTGGGGAAGTTACAAGACATAATAAACCACAAGAATGAAGATCAAATAAAAGAGTAAGTAAAACAAAATTTAATAGATAAATAATAAATTAGTGTGTTAATAAAATATTAATAATAGAAGCACTGTAACAAATAAAAAGCTAAACGCAACACAGCTGTGAATAAAGAAGTAAATAAGATAAACAAAGAGAGAAAACAAAATGAAACAAAAGGCTGACTCGGCACCAAAAATTGGAAAGTTTAAACTTTTTAATACCGCACAAAACAGAATATTTAATACTTATCATGAAACTGAGAGTTTAATCACTAAAAATTTGTATTAACACGGTAATAAAAATCAATTAAACTTCAAGAATTTTTTAAAATAAAAACACAAATGTACACAGCTAAAAAATTACAGCTTAAGAGCTTGAAGTGTTGCCAAGCTTTTATCTAACGACTGTGCCACTATATAAATGGAAACACGACCGCTTAGCCACAGTTTTATTATTATCATTTGTTTAATAAGTATATTGCTTACGCAACGCACATACAAAAGTTGGAAAAATTGCATATCAAAGGTTATTTTATTATGAATTCTGTATATATATTAATAATAATTTAAACATATTTTAATATATTTCTTAAAATAATTGATGTACTTGACACCATTATTTTAGGTTTTAGTTTTATTTTTAGTTTATTTATTTATTTATTTCAATAACAAACGCCGACCGGCTATATACATAAAGATAGTTAAACAATGTTTAACGTAGTAATTGCTGAGACGGTTATAAGTCCGCGTATAAATTCATTCAGATAATTATTGCACTATAATAGTGACAAAAATAAATAAGTTAATACATTATTTTAATGATGAATTATATAAGGAAACAATTTGATGATAGCAGTGATATAGTGAATTACATAAGTGAGTTATGGTTATTTATTCATTAACAATTCGTTGATCTTTGAGTTTAAAGTAGGCAGCGAGTCATCCTGGAAAATGATGTTGGAGCAGTGCTCATTGACTAGGTTGATGATTCTATTGCTAGGCCCATGGTATATATAGCTTTTAGTTGTTTTGGATGCGGTTAACAGTCTAGCATTTCTTAGCCCTGGTCTATGTGCAGTAAACTGGAATTGTTCAAGAACCTCAGGTGACATTATTAATTCGTTAATTACTTTATAGAAGAATGTCAGATCAACAGCTTATCTACGGTTAAGTAGATTATGGAGTCACAAAAGTACAGAATTGTGTTTTGCCGTCGGCATTTCACATTCATGCTTTAATTTTTATTTTCAAATGCATGTGTAAAAGCAGAGAACGTAAATGAATATAAAACATATGAACATATTATATTTTCCTGATATATTTTAATTATCTCAGGAAGTAAAATATGCTATTAAAGAAATTGAATTATGATATGCTTAGACTCCAATTAATAAAATAAAAAAATTAAATAAAATTCGTTTTAGGATTCGAACGTATAGGCTCGTATTCGGATTGTGCTTAATCCCTTCCCGCTTACGACCTCAGCCACCACAAAAGTGGAAATGTGGCCGCTTAGCCACCGTTTTATTGTTATCCTTTGTTTAATAAGCAATTGCTCACATAACGCACATACATAAGTTGGAAAACTAGCCTATTAAATGTTTATTTTATTATGAATTCTGGGGTTTTTACCGGTAATACAGATTTTTAATTCAGAAGGCTTTACATAATTATAAATTTGTCATATCATAGAAATTGAAAACATAAATCTAAATAGGTATGCGCAACGATTTTTCATATAGGAATATTCGTTGTGTCTATTTATAGCATTTCGCATATTGTGTGGTGTATTTTTCTTTTTCGAAGTTATACTTTTCGATGTTCCCTCTTGTGGAATTACAAATTAGTACTCAAAAAGTTTTCATTTAACATTTGCTCCTTCTCTACTCATCAACATTCTCTGAAATTAGTACTCAAAAACATTTGATTGAATTTGAATTTGAACATTCTCTGCTTTCATATTCTCCGATTCAGCGACATCTACATTTTAAAAGTAAAACTATATTATCGACTTATATATTTCACTTACTACTAATCAAAAATCTAATAATCTAATCAAAAATCCAGTTTCAAAAGAACATAAATAAATTAAATATATTATATTATAGTATTTTATATAGCTAAAGACACACAGGACTTCATATTCATATATACTATACAAACACTGTAAATAAATTTAAATCTACATCCTGTGTTGGTTTTTCACAGCCTATATAATAATTATAATATTTTAATTTCTATAACGTGTTTTCTCAAATATTTTATTGCAATATAAAAAAACTGTCATAAACTACTTGAATCGAATAATCTTCATGAATATAAAAAACCAAAAGTGAAATGAACAAATTTGTTGAGAAACCCAATATTGCCACATCCACTATCTGATTAGAGAATAAACAATAGCAACTCTGTTTTTGAGAAAGCGGCAAACTTAACTGAAAACAATACTGCTATGGAACACGTCAGGTATTTCGGCCGCTGTCATTTAACTCATAGATATCAGTTGGTATAAAAGTTGGGAAAGTTCTAGGATTTTTTAAGTGTAATCTACCATATTTTGAGATTTTCAATCTTGAATATTTCAATATAAAGCATTAAAAGGTAGCTTCAACAAATGTAAATTGTGTATTCTCTACGTTCAAGTTAATATTTTTTTTTAACTAACTTAATTTGATTTTTATCTCCTTATGTACGTCGCTGGTAAAAAAAAAAATATTGATTGCAAATCAACTAGATTGTTACCTAGCTGGTGGAAAACTTAAGAATATACAGTATTTTTTATTACTGAGTATACGAAAGCACCGGCAAGAACATGTTAGCCAACACAAGTATCAATCATGATACTGCACGCCGACAGCGGAGTACCACGTCATTAACATGTATTTTACGCTTATTTACAACCGCCTACCTGCTGATATTGGCTAGCAGACACATATCTGGCATAAATGCTGCGGCTGTAATGTCTGTGGATCTAGGTACAGAATGGATGAAAGTTGGTGTAGTTTCACCCGGCGTACCAATGGAAATAGCGCTTAATAAAGAATCGAAACGTAAAACACCTGCTTTATTAGCATTTCGGGATGGTTTGCGCACATTTGGTGAAGATGGTGTGACTGTCGGCATACGTGAACCAGCTGCTGCTTATGGTTATTTACTCGACTTGTTGGGCAAGACAATAGAAAACCCAATTGTTGATTTGTACAGGTGTGTAATCAACGATTTTAATATTTATTACAATTAATTCAAAGTGATGAATATTCCATTAGAAGAATACAATACTTTATATTATGAATATTTATATTATTAATTAATATTATAAAATTACAGGAAACGTTTCCCTTATTATGAAATAATTGAGGATCCCAAGCGCAACACAGTAATTTTTAGAAAAAGTGATTCGGAGCAGTTTTCTGTTGAAGAATTAATTGCGCAAATACTAGTTAAAGCTAAAGAGTTCGCACAGGAATCCACTTTGCAGCATATAACCGAATGCGTTCTTACTGTCCCCGGGTATTTTGGACAGGCCGAACGTGAGGCTTTGTTGACTGCTGCCGAATTGGCTAATCTGAAAGTTTTGCAATTGATCAATGACTATACTGCAGTTGCTCTTAACTATGGAGTATTTCATCGAGCAGAGATTAATGAGACTGCGCAATATTTTGTTTTTTATGACATGGGGGCGTACAAAACATCGGCAGCCGTAGTCAGTTATCAGTTAATGAAAGACAAAGTAACAAAAGAAACGAATCCGGTTATTCAGGTGTTAGGTGTGGGTTACGATCGAACTTTGGGTGGTTTAGAGCTTCAACTTCGTCTTCGTGACTATTTAGCTGCTGAATTCAATGCCATGAAGAAAACTAAGACTGATGTCACCAACAACCCTCGTGCACTTGCCAAACTATTCAAAGAAGCGGGCCGTGTTAAGAATGTACTTTCAGCGAATAATGATCATTTTGCTCAAATAGAGAATTTACTGGAAGATCTAGATTTCAAACTGCAAGTAACTCGTGAAAAATTAGAGGAACTCGGTGCAGATTTATGGCCAAGAGTTGTAAAGCCACTTGAACAAGCTCTTTCCGCCTCTGGACTTTCATTGGATACTATTTCCCAAGTTATAATTTTTGGTGGTGGTACACGTGTACCCAAAGTTCAAGAAATCCTAAAGCAAGCCATTAAACAAGAATTGGGTAAGAGCTTGAATGCTGACGAGGCAGCTACTATGGGCGCAGTATACAAAGCTGCAGATTTAGCAACTGGATTCAAAGTAAAAAAATTCGTTGTGAAGGACGCTGTTATATTTCCAATTCAAGTTACTTTCGAACGCGATCCTGGTGATGGCAGTGCAGTTCGTCAAGTAAAGCGTGTACTCTTTAGCCAAATGAACTCTTATCCGCAGAAAAAAGTTATTACTTTCAACAAGCACACCGAAGATTTTGACTTTAATGTTCATTATGGCGACTTAAGTCATTTGTCTGCCCAAGAAATTTCCTATATTGGTTCTTTAAACATATCTCGCGTGGAATTAGAAAGAGTGAAGGAATTGATTGAGAAAAACCAAAATGAAATGATCGAATCTAAGGGTATTAAGGCTTACTTTACCTTAGATGATTCAGGCATATTTCATTGTGCTGGTGTGGAATACGTTTATGAGAAACAAAAGGAAGACGAAGGAACATTAGCTAAGCTTGGCAGCACCATAAGCAAACTTTTCTCAAAAGATGATGCAAAAGACACCGAAAATAGTGTGAGCGAAGATACTGAGAAAATAGATCCTACAAAGTCTGAAGGTGAAACAGCTGAGAAGAAAGATGAAAAAGATATTAAAAGCACCAATAAAACTGAGGAAACTAAATTAGGCGACGAAAAAGACAAAAGTTTTAAAAATGCCACCATTAAATTAGTTACGATTAAAGAGCCGGTGTCACATAAAATAACACAACTCATCACTATCCCCCTAACAGGTGAAGCATATGAAAAATCTGTAGAAAAATTGTCGTCCATTAATGCCGCGGAATCCATACGCAATCGCCTAGAGTCTTCTTTGAATGCTCTTGAATCACATGTAATTGAAATACAACAAAAATTAGATGAAGAAGAGTATTCTTCTTGTGCTTCATCAGAAGAAAAAGAAAAAATTCTTGAATTGTGCTCTACAATATCCGATTGGCTTTATGAGGATCATGAAAACCCTACGCCTGAAATGTATGAGGAACGTTTAAAAGAATTGAAAAAACTTACAAATGTCTTCTTTTCACGTCATTGGGAACACTCAGAACGTCCAGAAGCATTGAAGGCACTGGACGGTATGATTGATGGCGCAAAGAAATTTCTTGACAATGCTAAAAATTTAACCAAAGAATCAAACCCTGAAAAAGATGTATTCACACAAGTCGAAATCGAAACACTCAGCAAAGTAATAGGTGAAACCAGTGACTGGAAAAAGTCTGAAAACAAGGCTCAACAGCAACTACAACGCCACGATGAAGTTCGCTTGACAGTTAAAGACATAACTGATAAAATGTCCCTACTTGACCGTGAGGTAAAATATATGGTTAACAAACTAAAGATCTGGAAGCCTAAAGTAAAGCCAAGTAAAAAACCTAAAAAGGACAACAAAACTGAAACCAACGAGACAAGTGGTGAAGAGGAGAGTGCGTCTGATGCCAATAATGAGGAACAAACTAAAGAGGAAGGACCTGAATCTGAAAACACAGTAAATGAGAAAGAAGGTTATACCGAAGATAAGGAAGATAAGACAAGACAAAAGCCGTCAAATACGGAAGAACACACTCCGCGCTCCGATTTGTAAGAGTTTGAGAACTGAACAGTATGTGATAGTTCATATATTACCGTTTGCAGGTCTAATAGTGCTAAGTGAATGACTGCATGAAACTCAAAAACTTTTTAGTAAACAGCTATTCACTTCACAAATTATTATAAAGAAAACAAAAAGTAAGCCTTTTCCATTCCACCCCAAATCCGTTTAAAATGTCAAAATTGACGTCTCTCTAAAGCTAAGCTAGATTGTTTACGTATTTCTAAAATGTATCTTAAATTACTACTCTCAGAACTCATTTATCACTGCAGATAACACTAAGAGATAGGTATCCGTGCCCTAAACTTTTTTTATATGCAAAAAGGGTCTGCATTTTAAAACATAAAAAGCACACTTAGTTTAATTTTTATATTCTACAACAGATATTGTTCTTGCTATGTATCTAATTTATTATAAAAGTAATGTTCAGAAAGTGAAAAATATATGTCTGAATATGTACGAATCTTTTAGACCATTCTGTAATTTGAATTACAATAATTTATTTTGGATTATAAGTTTATAGCAACAAATTTAAAAATATGTGTACAAAAAGATAAATATGCAATTTTAATTTAAACGATTTGAAAGGTCTTTTTCATAATTTGATTCGAAAAACATCCAGATCAATATGCATGCATGTCTCCCTGTTGTTGTTCAAATGTATTTATGGAAAACACTTATAACTCCCATACAATTGTTACCGAATTTATTATGTTTTAAATATTTTCGAAAGCAAAGTAGATTTTTTGATAAAAACAATTGTCAACTTTTAAAACATTTGAGCCGCATTTTAAAGTTTGTCGCAGGGGCAACCCTGTCAATTGGTTTAAAAATTGTGTGCTATTACAAAAAATAAATCAAGTTTCGTGATAATTAACTGTTTAATCAAGACATGTTAATATAATATTTAAGACACCCTGCTATTACATAAAATAATCTTATAAACTATTTACAGTGGGATTGTCAGAATTAATAAATGTGCAGGTGTTATGCACTGGTTTACACACTTTTATTAAAGAGGAAAAGCAACATTGTTGAAGAAATCATAAAATATCACCAATAAAAAAATAACTCAATCAATGTTGCCGTATTAGTAAGAGCAACGTGACTCACAGCAAGTTACGACTAAAGTTGTCAACTGGGTCTTAAGAAACTCATAAAAACTTTAATAGAAATCTCTGGTAGTGGGGTTGGGCAATTAATCGGTGATTTAAACTATGGGTGGCTTGCAGTGTCAGTCATAGCCTTCTATATCTCTTCACTTACACTAAACAGTGCATCATATACCATATTGATTTAATAAAAAAAAATATTTTATATTCAACATTATTATAAAAATAAAATTTGATTCGAATCAATTTATTCTTCTTATTTTATATTTTATAAGTAAGAAACAAAAGAAGGAATTTAGTTATTATCTTAAAAAAAGCGAACTGATAATTTTTCAATATGGTAAGGCCGAAGTCGCGTCGCAATTGTCGTCTCCGTCTTCTCCTTTTGGTAATTTTTTGCCCTCCTTCTTTCACTTTGCTTCTTGTATTTGTTGGCGAAAGTGATTTTTCGGTTTGGTTAATTTTCATAGCTCTGTGAATCTGATGTGCTCTTATAAGTGGAAACTTTGATTGCGTGTGTGGATAATTGAAAATGAATAACTTTTTCAGAAAAATGTGATAATTTAATTGCATAGCTTTGAATTTCAATTGATAAAGAAATATAGAAATAAAAGATATATAAAAAGTGTATGAACAATAGAATTAGGATCCCGTACGGTGTGAGGGATAGATGTTTGGAGTCTGGTTAAGAGACATCATAAGCGGTATTGCAGTGCGAAGGGATTGGTAGACCACTGTGGCCAATTCCAAGTTAATGCTCGGTAATTTCCTTCGATTCGCTTCGATTTCATCATTTGCAATTTTTCCCTCTTCTCCCAAAGTACATTTCATGTCGTCGTTTATCGTTTCTTATACTTTCGTACTTTGGTGGTCGATTTTGAGTTCTTGTTTTATTAAATTCGTTTCATAAAGTTTTTTTGCCAGAAAAACTTAAAGGTGCTTTATCAAAATTACTAAATGGAACAATAAGCGAATATAAAATTATTGTAAAAAAAGAGGAAAATTTATAATTTACTAAAAGTGTTAAATATTTGTAAATTTTAGTGTTTTCATGTGATTAGACCAAACAAGTCTTGAATAAAAAAATATATTTAAAAGTGAAATCCGCCCCAATTTGACCTGAAACAACGATATTAAACGACTCTTACTGCGCAGTCGACAGAGATATAAGCGTTAAGGTTGACGCTGACGTTGCTTGTGACGACAGTTACGGTTCTGATGAAAAAGTGCAGTGTACCTGAATGCCCTTTACACCCGTATTTTAGTCGATCCGCTGCTGGGTTCTTTCTTGCCTGAATTTGGCAACAGATTTGTGCTTTCGTTTCGTCGGCGCAAATCGAATCGTCAAAGGTACACTGCGTAATACTCGAGATGCGAACAGACACGAGCTTCCCAGCATCAGTCAGTGCGTTCATAATTTAGAAGTTAATTTATTAAAGTGAAAAACCGAAAGTATAGAGCAAACATTCAATTATAAATACCAACTATATAGCGACAAAAGGAAAGAAAACTAACTGTCTGTAGTTTCAGCATCAGCTGAATAACATCATCCAGATTTACGACAACAGCTACAAACAGTAGACGACGTGTTTTAGCGAAAAGGAGTGACTTTGACACCCCCCTTTGTGGTGTATTGCAAAGTCTATAGTTGGTTTATCCAGCTGAATTGCACAACACGAGGTAAACGTGCAAACAGTGACGCTGACAGTTTCGAGATGGCTTGTTTGAACACATTAAAATTGGAAATAAAAACACTGGAAAAAATATTTACAAAAAACCACGAGCGCTTTCAGATACTGAATTCCAGTGTTGACGAATTGACATGTCGCTTCATAGGCAAAAATGGCAAGCGTTATGATATTCACGCAAACATTACGGTAAGTAATGTTCATAATTATAAGCACGCATTTGCATACACATAAGTTTACAGACGGAATTGATGATTTATTTATTAAATTTGATTAAGTTGTATAACAGCTGTCATCATTCTAATATATTATGTTTAACATGCCGATGCATATAGTTATAAATACATATGTATGTAAGTATATGTATCGATTTCGGGGAAGCTATTTTTGAATGAATTTGTAAACTCTTTCTGCGAAAACATCTAAGCATAAACAACTTGGAGAGAAGTGTGCCTTAACTGGAAACATCCAGACCTCACTATGCAGGTATCATCAGGAGGAATCTTGTTGTGCAGTGTTCTGGCTATAAGCTGGTCTAGCTCATCGTTTCACCTTATACGTCACTTGCCATCTTGTTTTATTGTTACAAAGATTTTTATTAAGACCTCTCTTTCGAAGACTTGTAGTTTGGTTTTGTCCTTTTCGAATAGCGTCCATGATTCTATCCCGTGGCACAAAACTGGTCATATGATAGTTTTATATATGTAGTTAACCATTTCCTATTGAGTAGCTTTGATTTGATCAGTTTCATTAGAGACCTATTTGGCGGCTTGTATTCTATCTTCAAGACTCATGTTTTACAGTTTCAAATCCGTATTGGTCAATTTTCACTCTTGGTGCTGTTTTGTTTTTTCTGGACATCATCATTATTTCGTTTTATCTTCATTTATTTTTAGGCCAATTTAGCCAGCTGCCACTTCAACATCAGCGAAATTTTTGGAATGGGCATGGATGTTTTTGCTGACTATGGCGATGTCGTCCGTCTATGCAAATATTTACGTAGATCTATTTAATATGTGTTCAGTTCTTTTTGCAGCATGATGTTGAATATTGTGGATGATACGTATCTCCTTGTCTTACTCCAGACTTAATTCTGCAGAATTCGGACTTACTCCCATCATTACTTTTGATATAGTTTTGCGTAAGAATATCGTTACAATTCTAGTAAGTTTTTCTGGTAGTTTGCATTTCTGAAATGTGGATGGATGGATCCTACTAATATATATAACTATAGAACTCATGGACTGTTTGAGGGTAAAAATTTTGTCTACTGTTGACCTTCCGGGTCTAAATCCGCATCGATATACTCGAAGGATTTTCTCTGCATGGTTTATGAGTCTTCTATTCACAATCCTCGCAAATATTTTGTATATCGTGTTGAGAAGGGAAATTCCACGGTAAATTTTGCAGTTTGCTTTATAGATTTTTTTGTGAATGGTTATTATTATTTCTATATTTCAATCGTCTGGCAGCGATACACTGTTATAGGTTATTGTCGTCAAGTGATGAATTCTTTCAATGAACAGAATGCTTGCGTTTCTTATGAGTTCAGCTGTTATATTATCCTTCCCAGCAACTTGAAGTTTTTCATGCGTTTGATCGCATCTCGTATTTCTTGCATTCATCGCTGTTGTTAATTTAGACAGTGAGGCATTGCGTTGTTTGGAAGCATCATGCTCAAATCCGTGTGTCAAACCCGCCAGCATTCAACGTCTCTTTGAAGGGTTCAGCCCATACTTATATGTAAGCATTTCGCCAGTCCGCGTTTTTCTATCTTAATTTTTCTATAAAATTTGCGGGATTGCTTGTCGTTAAAACCTGTACACAGGGTTTCCAGCTCTTTCCTCAATGATTCTCTGGTTTTTTAGGTGAGGCATTGCGTTGTTCCGAAGCATCATGCTCAAATCCGTGTGTCAAACCCGCCAGCATTATTATAAATAAGCATTTCGCCAGTCCGCGTTTCTCTATCTTAATTTTTCTATAAAATTTGCGGGATTGCTTGTCATTAAAACTTGTACACAGGGTTTCCAGCTCTTTCCTCAATGATTCTCTGGTTTTTTAAGAAGTCAGTTCTTTCTTGCTTCACTTTTAAAATCTATCATCCTTCTAAACTCTTCATTAAACTACTCCGTGTTTTTGTTTTTAGTTTCACTTCCAAGTGTATGTGTTGCAGCAATTGTAATCGGGTTTTTAAAGTTTTCCATTCTTTCTCGGATGATTTTTGTTGCTTTAGCTCTTCGTCAATTTTGGTCTGATAGTGTTCCAATTTTTTCTTTTAACTTCTTTGGTTTTTCCCACGTTCGAGAGTTTATGTCGTAGTATTACCCTTACTAAATAGCTATCATCTTCGCAATTGGGTCCTTTAAGACTGCGCACTTCGGTTATAGAGCTTTTTCTTCGGCGATTGATAAGAACGTGGTCAATTTGATACACTTCATTGCTTCCGGGTATCTTCCACGTCCTTTTGTGTATTTTCTTGTGAGGAAACGCAGTCGCAATGACTTTTGTTGTGAAATTAGCAAAATTGCGGATGCATCTGCCGTTTTTGATTTTTTTTTTTCATGAAGTGAGTGTTTACCGGCTACATTTCTGTTGCAACTTTCAATGCCTACTTTGGCATTAAAGTAACCTAGGATGATAGTTGTGTCATATTTCCCTGTTTTTTTGGATGAGTCTTTTTCACATTCGCTATCATCTTCGGCATATGCTGATATCAATGTTAATTTGTTATAAGGCCCTTAACCGCGCAATTTTGAGAGTCTGTCCCCTGACTGGCTCAAAGCCTACTATTTTGTTTTTATCAAAAATAAGTCCAAAAACCAGTGCCGCATCTACCCGATTAATTTATTTCTCTTTTCGTATTTCTCCAAAGTCTTTCCAATGTATTTTTTGGAGGGCCACGAGGTCCATCTCACATTTTGCAAGTTCAGCTGTGATTTTTATTAATTTTATCAGCTTGTAGCATAGTCCTTGTATTCCATCAGCCGAGTTTTCAATCATTATCCTTGTTTCGAATTTTGCGGTCGTCAACGTTGTTTTGGGTTTTCTCCGAGGCACTTGTGTTGCTTTCATGACAAGTAATTACCGCCGAGTGGGTTGTCAGCCCTACGTCGACAGGGCAGAACTCCAACCACGTGGTAGCTTGTTATACCTCTAGCTGTCAAATTGCCATTTATTTTTAGAAGCTGGCTAGTAGGGTTATGCCGCCCAATCGGTCGCCAGAGCCGCTTTTGTTATCGCCAGGGTGTACCGACATGTAGGTGAGGTTGACGGTTGAATAGGAAAGGCTTTATAATCGCGTCACTATCCCATTGTCACCCCCAACTGCGTATGAAATGATGGGAATTCCCTCTAGTAGCTTAGGGAGTTTCGTAATATAGAAGTTAAATCGGAGCGGGGAGAGGTGACCACCCTACAAAACCCGCTGTTTGACCTCGAAATAGTACGGATGATTGACTACCGCTTAGATAATTCTTGGTCCACCTCTTTAGCTCTGGAGGGATGTGGTGGTGTTGTTAGTGTCCTCTGTCCTCTAGTTGCATTGTGTGATTGACTGTGTCAAAAGCTTTTGACTAATGCTACTAGTATCGTCCTCTCACAGATTGGTGGTTTTTGATTTAGGCCAGGAACTATCAGGACGTTTATGACGCTAAGCACTGTGGTGGTCTGATCAGTTGGTGATTGAAAATCATGAGTAACTAGGCCTCAAGTGGTTTTATTACTGCGGAAAGGTGAGTTATCGGATGATAAGAATCTCTAGATTGGCGGGTGAAAACTGTCGGCTAAAATAGCTCGCGTATTTTTTCAGGTCCGAAGAGGCATGGTTATCTAATCTTGAAATTGATAGGGAGGTCACAGGGATCGGAGGGCGCTTGTTTGCTAAAAGTGCTGCTTCGGCTGGGAAATCGGGGGGGACGTCCTCGATTCTTTCAGACGGAATAAAACAAGCGGTAGCAGCTGCGATCACTTTGCGGAATTAACGTTCGATAACGATTACGTCTGTAGGAATGGGAAGTGTGGATAAGATGTTCTCGGTAAATTTAGTGAAGGACCAAGTAAGCTGTGGTAAAATTAATAATTGTGCGATGGTCTACAGAAATAAACTCGAGAGGTTTCTCGAGCGAGATATTTATGGACAGATTGTCTGATGCGAAAAATAGCATAGATCGCAAGGTTATGATATTTATCAGACCTCCGCTAGCGATGATAATATCGGGCGAGCTATTACAGGTGCTATAATTCTACGATCGTTTGACAGGCCGGACCTCGCCTGACCGGATACCTATGCCTTGACAATTTGATCTGCGATTGATCCGACTGGGGGTCATGCTGCTGAGTTAAGCTTATTTAGACCGTAGACGTTTTTTGTTGGCCACTCGACTGGAGTGGAGGTGCAGTTCGCGAACTATGTGCAGTTGTGCGTTGGCAGCATTGGACCATATAACGAGTGTTCCACTCCCTATTTGTCTCAGAACCTGAGCTTGTCTTAAGCTGTCTTCTTCCTCCTTCCAAAATCCTCCAGGCCCTTGTTAGACTCAATGCCAGCATGGATCAGGAGGATGCGAAGTAACCCAGTTGCTAGTTGTTGCTCTAATGATGACAAACCTTACCGATTATCTTAATTTAAAACTTAAGCTAAATTAAGATTATCAGTTCAGGGTTTGCTTTCACTTATTAAGAATGGAGTGTGGAGCTAAAGAAAGTCGTGGTGCGGTGATTGCTTAAAAAAGTGTTGAAAAGGTGTTATTTATAAGCTGCTCAAAAAACTTAATACTTCGAGAATGTTTGTTGTCCGTACTATTGATTGTTTTCCCAAACATCTACAATTGAGGACATAAAGAGAAGTGATCGTCCTCGCGGGGTGTCTTTTTTACAGATTAAAAAATGTTCTCTGTTGAAGAAGTTTTTAATAAGCAAAATGACAAAATCTATGCTAAAACTTCCAAAAACGCAACCACTATTATTCCAAGGTTTCAACGTAGTCACCATCCAACTGTAATGGTTTGGTGCATAGTTGTTGTAAATAATATTATTCAGACCCTGCTTGAGAAAAAGTAATAAGTGAACTGTCATCGAAATCAGTTGACGGTAGACCCAAAACATGAGAAGTATGCTATGCTCCTTGACAGAGAGCATGCGATCCTCACTAGTGAGTCCCTTGTCATTTTAACTTGCACCTTATTACCCAA